GTAGATGCTCAGTAAATGTAGGCTCTTTCCTTCCCTACCAAAACCAAACACCTTTGGGTCTCAGAGAGGCAGAACACCACAGCTGAACAACGTAGATTCTGAAATGAGCGATCTGGGTTTGAGGTGTGATTCACCCACTCACTAGTTGTGTGACTTGGGGCAAGTCACTTATCCTCTCTGGGCTTGCTTGCTTCATGAGTCAACAAGGGGCCATATTCTGGCTTGCAGGCACAGCAGATATGAAATGCCTGACACAGTGCTTGGGGTCTAGTATGTAGCTTCCAGAACCCACCCTGCCCCTCTACCTGGGAGGCCAGATGGGTGAGTGGGCTGGGGCTTAGACCCCACGGCTTTCCCACACCTTCCTGCCCATTAGGATGGGTGCCCTGAGGGCAGGGTGGGGAGGACTCTGGGCATGTCCTCAGGAATGGATAAACAATGTCCTCAGGTGGTGGTGGTAAGGAGCCCCCGGGGACTCCCAGTGGCTGGGTTGTAATCTCTGATTAAACCACCGTTTTCTCTTCCAGCAACAACTGAATGACTCCTCTGTCATCATCAGCGCCCTCAAGACCTACCTGGTGTCGGGGTAAGGAGCCCCTCGGAGACCAGGCGGCCATTGCTTTTGGTGGCTTCTTCCTCCGGGGAGGCCTCGCCCGAGTTCTCTTGTGGGAGCAGGTGGAGCTGCTGCTTAGATTTCCAGAGTACGCAGTGGCTCACACCTGTAATCTCAGCGCTTCGGGAGGCCGAGGCGGGCAGATCACCTGAGGTCAGGAGTTCCAGACCAGCCTGGCCAACATGGCAAAACCCCATCTCTACTAAAAATACAAAAATGAGCCAGGCATAGTGGCGAGTGCCTGTAGTCCCAGCTACTCAGGAGGCTGAGGCAGGAGAATCACTGGAACCCGGGAGGCAGAGGTTGCAGTGAGCCAGGATCGTGCCACTGCACTGCAGCCTGGGTGACAGAGCAAGACTCCGTCTCAAAAAAAAAAAAGATTTTCAGAGCAGCCCGTGGCTGTCTTCCTCCAAGCCCTCCACTTTGTCCTCTCCGCAGCTCTCTCTCTTGGGGAGGTAGCCCTGGCATCTCCTCCACATCCCTCTTACTGCAGGAGTGCGGAGAGCCTTTGTTTATCGGTCCTGGCTCCACTCTGGGGCTAGGGCAGCTGGGTGGGTCGGCCACAGGGGACGGGACGGGGAAGGAGTTGGGGTGAGACTGTGGCTCTCTCCGAAGGCAGCCCCTGGAAGAGATCATCACCTACTACCCAGCCATGAAGGCTGTGAATGACCAGGGCAAGGAGGTGACCGAGTTCGGCAATAAATACTGGCTCATGCTAAACGAGAAGGAGGCCCAGCAAGTGTACAGCGGGAAGGAGGCCAGGACGTGAGTGGGGCTGGGGCTGGCGGGGGAAGGTGATGACCTCAGGGGTCTTCTGTAGAGTAGGACCAAGCTGAGCAAGATGGCGTGAGCAGGGAGCAGCGTGGGAGACCAGCGGGGCTGGGGCCGGGCCATGCCGGATTTCAGCAGAGACCTTTCTGTGGCTGCGCGTGCTGGCTCACTCCTGTAATCCCAGCATGTTGGGAGGCCGAGGCGGGCAGATCACCTGAGGTCAGGAGTTCGAGACCAGCCTGGCCAACATGGCAAAACCCCATCTCTACTAAAAATACAAAAATTAGCTAGGTGTGGAGTTGCACACCTGTAATCCCAGCTACTAGGGAGGCTGAGGCAGGAGAATCACTTGAACCCAGGAGGCGGAGGATGCAGTGAGCTGAGATCGTGCCATTGCACTCCAGCCTGGGCGACAGAGCAAGACTTTGTCTCAAAAAAAAAAAAAAAAGCCAGGTGCGGTGGCTCAAGCCTGTAATCCCAGCACTTTGGGAGGCCGAGGCAGGCAGATCACGAGGTCAGGAGATCGAGACCATCCTGGCTAACAGGGTGAAACCCCATCTCTACTAAAAATACAAAAAACTAGCCAGGTGTGGTGGCGGCGCCTGTAGTCCCAGCTACTCCGGAGGCTGAGGCAGGAGAATGGCGGGAACCCGGGAGGCGGAGCTTGCAGTGAGCTGAGATCCGGCCACTGCACTCCAGCCTGGGCGACAGAGCCAGACTCCGTCTCAAAAAAAAAAAGACCTTCCTGCTCAGGCTTCAGCTTCCCACCTGTGCAGTGGGTATGGTCTAGAGAACGCAGCCTGCTCCCAACACAGCCCAGGTCCTGGCTTAGGAAGTCCCTCCCGTGCCCGCAGGGAGGAGATGAAGTGGCGGCAGTGGGCAGACGACTGGCTGGTCCACCTGATCTCACCCAATGTGTACCGCACACCCACCGAGGCTCTGGCATCCTTTGACTACATTGTCCGCGAGGGCAAGTTCGGAGCCGTGGAGGGAGCCGTGGCCAAGTACATGGGTGCAGCGGCCATGTACCTCATCAGCAAGCGACTCAAGAGCAGGCAAGTGTGTGTGCACATCCGGGGCCTGCTGTCCCTGAGCCTCCGGTGCCACGAGCAGTGGTGATCCCATCACACCCCTCAGGAGACCAGCGGGAGGCTGAGGCCTGGGCAGGTGGGAAAGCGTTATGGATTACGGGTCCCTTGGCCAAGCTGGGACTTGGACCCAGAGCTCCTGCTCACCTCCCTGGGGGCAGCAGGGCCGGCCTTGAAGCCAGAAGCCTGGGGCCTGACTGGCACCTTCTCTGTGGCTTTCTCCCTGGCCTGGTCTCTTGCCCTTGCCACAGCCTCCCCATCTGGGACAGATGCTCCCTGAGGCATCTGCAGATGTGATGCTGTCACCTGGGGTGTTGCCCTGGCTTCCACGCCTCCCCCCTGCTCCCCAGAGGAGACCCCTCTTCCCTGCTGGGCTGGGAGTGGGGGCTCTCCTGAGGGGCTTTTCCCTTCCCCGCCCAGGCACCGCCTCCAGGACAACGTGCGCGAGGACCTCTACGAGGCTGCCGACAAGTGGGTGGCTGCTGTGGGCAAGGACCGGCCCTTCATGGGGGGCCAGAAGCCGAATCTCGCTGATTTGGTGAGTGTGGTGGTGGCAGGTGGTGCCTGGACCAAGGGTTCTGTCCTCAGAGTGGGGGAGGTTTGTAAGGGAAAGCCCGGGCAGTGCGTGCATCGTGCCAGAGGAGCCTGCCTCTCTCTGCCGTCACAGACAGAAACTCGCCTCGAAGTGGCTCCAGGAGAGAAACCGATGACCAGGAACCGCCTTGGTTCACATAACTGACAAGTTCAGGGAACGGGCTGGCTTCAGGCCCTGCTGGATCCAGAGGCCCGGGTGGTGGTAACAGGGCCCGGGCTCTACCTGTCGCCGTCAACACGGCCCTCCCTGGAGTGCGCTTCGGCCCCAGGCGGGCTGGGTCCGGTGCTCCAGGCTTCTCCCAGCAAAACCCAGTGAGATGGCATCTCACTGGCCTGGCTTCGCTGCCCTTTTTCCTTTTTTTTTTTGTTTTTGAGACCAAGTCTTATGCTGTCACCCAGGATGGAGTGCAGTGGTGCAATCTCAGCTCACTGCAACCTCCACCTCCCAGGTTCAAGCAATTCTCCTGCCTCAGCCTCCCGAGTAGCTGGGATTACAGGCCTGTGCCACCATGCCTGGCTAATTTTTGCATTTTTAGTAGAGACAGGGTTTCAATATGTTGCCCAGGCTGGTCTCGAACTCCGACCTCAGGTGATCCACCCACTTCGACCTCCCAAAGTGCTGGGACTGCAGGCGTGAGCCACCGTGCCTGGCCCACTGCTCATTTTTAAAACTGTCCTGCCCCTGGGTGACCTGGGTCTTGAAACTGGGTGGTGGGGTCTCTTCTCCCCAGTCTCAGGACCTGAGAAGGGGGGAGGGCATTTATCCCAAGGAAACTTGCTGGTGGGGATCTGTGGCCCAGAAAAGGGGGTACAGGCGTGAAGCAGGCGAGACCTGCAGCCATCCCACACGCTTTGTTCAAACCCTCACCTGTGCTGTTGGCCCTCGAGTAGGTCACGAGCTCCAAGCGGGGAGGGGATGGGAGCTGGGCACACAGCTGGCAGGGAGTGAAGGAGGTCTGGATGCCTGTCAAACCAGCCTTTCTGTTTCACGCCCCAGGCAGTGTATGGCGTGCTGCGCGTGATGGAGGGGTTGGATGCCTTCGATGACCTGATGCAGCACACGCATATCCAGCCCTGGTACCTGCGGGTGGAGAGGGCCATCACCGAGGCCTCCCCAGCGCACTGAATGTCCCCGCCCAGAACAGGGGAAAGGCAGCGGAAGACGCCAGCTGCCAGGGCCTGGGGTCCCTGGGCCAGTGCCTGGTGATGCTGGCGGGGGCAGCATCATTCTGCCCCTTTTCTACCCACCCCCACCAGCCCTCTTGCTCCTAACACAGGGCACCTGCTGGGGCCCAGGGATGCTAGGGACGAGTTCCAGCCCTGCGCCTGCCCTGGGGCGACCCCTCCGTGTCCCTGCCTCCCTGCTCTGCCGCCCCTCTCCCAGAGCCTCAGTGGCTGTCCCGTGGCTACATCCTGTGGGTGGGGGGTCATCGACAGGACAGCAGGACGGTTCGTTCTCGGTGGAATCCCATCCCTGGGTTCCCCTAGTTCCCACTCTTCCCAAGCCTCCCGGGATGGGGACATGTTTGCAATAAAGGAAAGGTTTGTGGCGCCTGTCGCGGCAGGCATCTCGTGGAGCTGTGCGTGACTGAGTGCTGCGTGGGGCTGGTGGTCAAGGGAGGCATCAGGCTTGGGCTATGCCAGCCCTGGTGGTAACTAACCACCGGCCTGGTGCTTCCCAGGTGGCAGGCATGGTATGGCTCCGCAGACTTTGTATGCCATGGTCCCCAGGATACCACTCAGGGCACACAGCCGGGCCATGGAGCCCAGCAGCCAGCGTGCAGGTCGGGCAGCTAATTTTTTATATTTTGTAGATCCTGGGTTTTGCCGTGTTACCCAGGCTGACCTTGCACTCTAGGGCTCAAGGGAACTGCCCACCTCAGCCCCCCGAAGTATTGGGATTACAGGCGTGAGCCCCCATGCCCAGCCAGGAAACTTTTTTAAGTTTTATTTTATTAGTATTTTAAAAACAAAATAACTCAAGTTTCCCATAAAAGCGAACATTTGAGTAAGGTAGAAGTGAGCGCTCGAGACAGCCAGTGTAACATTTGGAAGCAGGTGGCTGTGTGGCTGGTGACCTCAGTTTTTCCCACGGGGCTGGTCTGCCACCGGCTCTGTTCTCATCCCCATCCTGGGCGTCTCCCTGTCAACATATGTCACACTGACTTGTTCTCATGGCTACATAGTGCCCTGCTGCCTGGCTGCACCACAGTCCATCAGCCAGCCCCCACCGTGTGCCCTCTGTGGGTGTTAACTCCAGGTACTTGGGCTGCAGGGGAGAGGAGGCGGCCAGGCCTGAGGCTGTACCCGTCTGTGGCCTTAGGAGTCACAGCAGCCGCCTCTGAGAGGCCAGCAGGTGTCAGGGCACCCAGAGCCACCACTGTGTCCAGAACAGCATTTCCACGTCATTGGCCAGGCCTAAAGTCCTGAGGGGCCTTTGCTCCAGGGACCCAGGGTGTCTCCCTCAGCAGGGCAGGAACTAGGCCAGGAACACCATGGGGCACTGAGGGAGGACCCTCCCTCCATCCCTGCACCCCTCCATCCCTGAACCCCTCCATCCCTCCATCCCTGCACCCCTCCATCCCTGCACCCCTCCATCCCTCCATCCCTGAACCCCTCCATCCCTCCATCCCTGCACCCCTCCATCCCTCCATCCCTGAACCCCTCCATCCCTCCATCCCTGCACCCCTCCATCCCTGAACCCCTCCATCCTTCCATCCCTGCACTCCTCCATCCCTCCATCCCTGAACCCCTCCATCCCTCCATCCCTGCACTCCTCCATCCCTCCATCCCTGAACCCCTCCATCCCTCCATCCCTGTACCCCTGCATCCCTCCATCCCTACACCCCTCCATCCCTGAACCCCTCCATCCTTCCATCCCTGCACTCCTCCATCCCTCCATCCCTGAACCCCTCCATCCCTCCATCCCTGAACCCCTCCATCCCTCCATCCCTGTACCCCTGCATCCCTCCATCCCTACACCCCTCCATCCCTGAACCCCTCCATCCTTCCATCCCTGCATCCCTCCATCCCTCCATCCCTGTACCCCTCCATCCTTCCATCCCTGCATCCCTCCATCCCTCCATCCCTGTACCCCTCCATCCCTCCATCCCTGAACCCCTCCATCCCTCCATCCCTGTACCCCTGCATCCCTCCATCCCTGAACCCCTCCATCCCTCCATCCCTGTACCCCTGCATCCCTCCATCCCTGAACCCCTCCATCCCTGAACCCCTCCATCCCTGAACCCCTCCATCCTTCCATCCCTGCATCCCTCCCTCCATCCCTGTACCCCTCCATCCTTCCATCCCTGCATCCCTCCATCCCTGAACCCCTCCATCCCTACACCCCTCCATCCCTGAACCCCTCCATCCTTCCATCCCTGCATCCCTCCATCCCTGCACCCCTCCATTTCTCCATCTCCACACCCTTCCTTTGCTGTACCCCTCCATTCTCCATCCCTGCACCCCTCCATCCCCCATCCCTGTACCCTTACGTCCTCCATCCCTCGATCCCTGCATTCCTCCATCGCACATCCCTCCATGCCTCTGTTCTCTGCATCCCTCCACCGCAGTATCCCTGCACCTCTTCATCCCTCCATTCCTGCATCCCTCTATTTTTCCATCCCTCCATTCCTGTATCCCTGTACCCTCCATCCTCCATCCCAGCATCCCTCCATCCCTGCTCCCCACTCTCACTTCCCTTCCCTTCCCTTCACACACAGGCTTTTCCTGCCATCCTCACACCCTGCCCAGGGTTACCTGATACCTTTCCAGCTGCACACGGAGGCTGACTCACCTCTCTCTTTCTCAGTCCCAAAGTCCCGAAAGAGAGCATCTGATGTGGCCAGCTCGTGACAAGGCGTCCACCTTCTGTCCATGACACGGAGGCCGGGGGAGGATCTCACTGCTGAGGACCCCACCGTGTGCTCCCAGACCTTTTGAATGTTCCTCCTGCTCAGCCCAGTGACTGCGGGCTGTGGCTCCTCCCTTCAGCCTCCCCTCGAGGTCCTGGTCTTACTTAGGAGGCCCCGGATGTAGATCTGGCCCCAGCCACCAGGCATTGCCCCTTTTCCTGGCTCCACACACTCAGGAATGAAGTTTCCTTCTGTTTCTCCTCTTGCAGAAGGAGATCTGGTTGGCAGCTAAACCGCGCTGGGAACAGGGGCCTGAGTCCTGGATCAGGGCTCTTTCCCCGGGGCTGCTGCAGTTGGGGAGGAGCCTACATCCTCCTCCCCCGAGTGCTCACCTTGATGAAAGGGTCCAGGACTGTGCTAACCAGACCTGACAGGCTGGAGAATGGCCAGTCAGACTGAGGCCACCGCGGGACACCACTTAGGCCCAACTTCTCCCCGCGAGTATCTCTCTCCCTAGAGGTAACAACTCTGCCTCAGTTTCCCCAATGTTTCTCCGTCACACCTCTTGGCGTGTTTTCCCATAGCCACCAGAGGGCGCCAGAGCCCCGCCAAGCCGCGTAGGAGATGGAAACAAGGCCTGCTGCTGCCACCTCGCGGCCAATTCCAGGAATGAATCTCGGCACCCTCATTACCCAGAGACTCTGTCCATCTGTATGAAAATGGGCTTAGCTGTAACGGTCCGAAGATGAGTGGCTAGGAAGAAACATACCTCTTGAGGATGGGGACAGTGGCTCATCCCTGTAAGCCCGGCACTTCAGGAGGCTGAGGTGGGAGGGTCACCTGAGCCCAGGAGTTTGAGGCTGCAGTGAGGTATGACTGCCCCACTGCACTCCAGCCTGAGAAACAAAGTGAGACCCTCTCAAAAAAAAAAAAAAAAAAAAAAAAAAAAAAGAAGAAGGAAGGAGAAGGAGAAGGAGAAAGAAGAAGAAAGAAGAAATGCCTCTTCTTAGGAATGGGCTCCAAGCCAGGATTCCATGCCCCATTAGTGCCATCCTCAGGTCACAGCATGGTCTCTGTGGTCTGTTTTTCTCTCTTTGTTTAAAAAATAGAGGCCAAGAAAAAAAAAAAAAAAGAGGCCAGGGAGGTTGCAGTGAGCCAAGATTGTACCACTGCACTCCAGTCTGGGCAACAGAGCAAGACTCCATCTCAAAATAAATAAATAAATAAATAAATAAATAAATAAATAAAGGCCAGGAGCGGTGGTTCATGCCTGTAATCCCAGCACTTTGGGAGCTGAGGCGGGTGGATCACTTGAGGTCAGGAGTTTGAGAGCAGCCTAGCCAACATGGCGAAACCCTGTGTCTACTAAAAATACAAAAATTAGGCAGGTGTGGTGGTGGATGCCTGTAATCCCAGCTACTCGGGAGACTGAGGCAGGAGAATCGCTTGAATCCGGGAGATGGAGGCTGCAGTGAGCCGAGATTGTGCCACTGTACTCCAGCCTGGGCGACAGAGGGATACTTCATCTCTAAACAAATAAATAATAAAAAATAGAGACAGGGCCGGGCGTGGTGGCTCAAGCCTGTAATCCCAGCACTTTGGGAGGCCGAGACGGGCGGATCACGAGGTCAGGAGATCGAGACGATCCCGGCTAACACGGTGAAACCCCGTCTCTACTAAAAAATACAAAAAAACTAGCCGGGCGAGGTGGTGGGCGCCTGTAGTCCCAGCTACTCGGGAGGCTGAGACAGGAGAACGGCGTAAACCCGGGAGGCGGAGCTTGCAGTGAGCTGACATCCGGCCACTGCACTCCAGCCTGGGTGACAGAGCAAGACTCCATCTCAAAAAAAAAAAAAAAAAATAGAGACCGGTTCTTGTTATGTTGGCCAGGTTGGTCTTAACTTCCTGGCCTCAAGCAATCCTTCCTCCGTGGCCTCCCAAAGTGCTAGGATTACAGGTGTGAGCCACCATTCACGGTTCCCTGTGGTCTTGATGGCTTCAGAAGACCTGAGTTCAGGACCTGGCCACTGCCCACTGTGCCCTGGGGCAAGCCCCATCCCGACTGGGAAATGGCATCCGTAAACCTCCGATACGCAGAGGGCGTGTTTTTATGAAGTTGGTAGGGTCTGCTGTCTGTTCTCAGAACACACGCCCTGCTGTGTTCCCCACTGGCTCCAAGAGCTCAAGGTCAAGGACTCCAGGAAGTAAGAATGGAAAGAGTCCTGAGAACAGCAAGCTCCCTTCTCCCTGGGGAGAGTGAGCTCATGGGGAGGGTGCTGGTTTGCTTTTGTGTGTCTGTTCATTTTTTTTTTTTTTTTTAGACAGGGTCTTGCTCTGTTGTCCAGGCTGGAGTACAGGGGCAGGATCATGGCTCACTACAGCCTTGAACTCCTAGGCTCAAGTGATCCACCCACCTCAGCCTCCTGAATAACTGGGACTATGGGCACGTGCCACCATGCCTGGAGAATTTTTTTTTAATGTTTTGAAGATATAGAGTCTCACTGTGTTGCCCAGGCTGGTCTCCAACTCATGGGCTCAAGTGATCCTCCGGCCTCAGCCTTCCAAGTAGCTAGGACCACAGGTGTGTGCCACCACGCTGGCTAACTTTTGTATTTTTTGTAGAGATGGGGTCTTACTATGTTGCCCAAGCTGGTCTCCAACTCCTGGGTTCAAGCGATCTGCCTGCCTTAGCCTCCCAAAGTGCTGGGATTACAGGAGTGAGCCATGGCTCCCAGCCATTTGTGGTGTTTGAAGTCACCAAGTGTGTGGTTATTGGTCACAGCTGCCCCAGGACACCAATACCTAGATTTAAGCCAGGTGTAGTCAGGGAAGAGCAACAGCGATGGGGCATGTGGTGATCTGGGAAGTCCCAGGGTTTCCAGTCCGTGCCAGTGTCCTCATCTGTAAGATGGGGTGGGAGGCTGGGCTCTTCAGTTCAGTTAAGGGTGCCCCGTACTGTCTAGCATGGGTGGGGCCCGCTCCACCAATCATCAGCCTCAACAGCTGCCATGGGAGATAACGGCTCCTCCTGGGCCACGGGGCTGTGCTGGTGGGTGATAGCAAATGACCAAGAGAGCCATGTCCTGCGGCTGTTCCCTGGCCAGCCCCTGAGTTCGGAGGAGCTGAGAGCAGGAGACCTAGGTTTATCTTGCCCTTTGGGGAACTGGGGCAGGCCTGGGGCCCTCCCTGGCCTCAGTTTACCCATCTGCAGGATGGAGGTTCTATCATAGCATGCCCTCCCTGCTGCCCCCTCGTGGCCAGCCCAGGCCATGCGGCCTGCTGCTGCTGCTGCTGCTGTAGGGAGCAAGGTCCGCACCTGGGCGGGCTGGGCCCAGCACACCCGCCCCACCTGTTCCCACCCTTCCCCTACTTTCCAACGCACTCAGACCGGTGAAATCTGGACTAGGGCGGCACAGGGCGAGCCCCAGGTGAGAACAGGGCTTCCGTATCAACAGAGCTGGTTTGAATCTGTTTCACATTGACCCTTTATGTGAACGAGAACAGTCGCTTCCCCCGCGAGCTGTCAGAAGGCGTCGTGCCTGTCTTGCTAGTGAGGAAATGGAGGCTCAGAGAGGCAGAAGATTTGCCCAAGATCACACCGCCGGGACCCAGGATTCAAGCGCAGGCCTGCCCCATGTTTCCCAGGCTCTCTGTGGCCTCCTGGCTGCAAGGAGGCAGCCAGGGACCAGGTGCTACCCTTCTGAGGTGAGGCAGAGTGCCCGTCCCTTGGGCACGTCTAACTTGGTGAAGGTCCCGCGGGTGGGTTGTGGCATGATTCCAGCTTGCAGGGTCTGGTGTGGGCAGCAGCTCTCTGCCTTCCCCCCAGTTCCTGGTGGGCAGCCCCAGCAGAGCCCACCCCAGCTTCACTCCCCTACGTGCCGCCTGCCAGTTGGGGTCCGCTGCATCCTAGGTCCTGGGCAAGTCCCCTCCCCTCCTAAACCTTAGTTTCCTTGTCTGTGAAATGGGGACCTGGCGGCAGTGGCACTTCCTACACCTGCTGATTGCTAAGTAAAGTCCTGCGTGGGCAGTGCCCCCGCGAGGAGGACCCACCAGACCACACGGCTCAAGTGGCTCTGGATTTCCTCGCAGGTGCCTGAGATCCCAGGCCCGAGAGGATTAAGGCGGGATTACTGACTGAATGCCGGAGGAATTAGGGCAGCTGGGAGATGAAGCCGTTAGGCCCGGCTGCATCCCATTTCCTGCCTCGTTTCAAGTCAATGTTCCAACAGCGCTGCCTGGCTCGTCTTGCTCTCATCCAATGGACAAGCACACAGGCTCAGAGAGGGGGCGTGACTTGCCCAAGGTCACTCAGCTTGGATGCTGTGGAACAGGGACACCCACTGTCCCAGTCTGTTTATGGGAAGCCGCTCTGCAGCTGTCCTGACCCACCACGTGCCCCACCGCTGTTTCCTTGCCTTGACCCCTTGTTGCCTGGACCAGGGTGGCACAGCTCCAGGCTCTTGGGCCCCTCGCGGAGGACAGGAACCTGTGACTGTGTCCCCAAAGACCTGAGTGACTGAGGGGGCCCCACAGAGCTTGGGCTTCCTGGAGGACGAGGAGGGATCTGCCAGCCACCTGCACCACCCCGGCCCCAGGGCTCCCCTGGAGCTACCATGCCAGCCGGACTCAGGTGGGTCTGTAGGAGCACCGTGCCTCTAGTCAGACTTTGAGATGTGCCCCCTGCTCCCACCGTGCCCTCCCCTGCCCAGGACTCTGGTTGTAAACCCTGACTAGGGATTTTATCTCCACCAGGGGCCCAGTAGGTGGGAAGTGGCTTAAATAATGCAGGTTTATAATCTCACTAGAGGTCAGAGGAGTCTGAAATGGGCCTCATGGGGCTAAAATCAAGGTGTCTGCAGGGCCGTGTTCCTTCTGGAGGTTCCAGGGGAGGAAAGGGAGGATCCAGTCTGTGCCTTTCCAGCTTCTAGAGGCTGCCTGCGTTCCTTGGTTCGTGGCCCCTTCCCCCACCTTCAAGACAGCAGCGGAGACCTGAGTCCTTCTCATGCCATCTCTCTGTTCTCTCTCCTGCCTCCTCCTCCACACTGGAGGACCCTTGTGATCACACTGGCCCCCCAGTGACCCAGGATAATCCATCTCCCTGTTTGAAGGTCAGCTGATTAGCAACCTTCATTCCATCTGCCTCCTTCATTCTCCCGGCCACGTAATGGGATTCACAGCTTCCAGGGATTAGGACACGGACATCTTGTGGTGGGGGCATAATTCTGTCGACAACACCAAGAAACACTTGGATGTTAAGCATTGACTGAACACTGTTCAGGCTCCAGGTGCTGGGAGCAGCAGTGAACAAAGCCAACAGACACCTCCACCCTCAAGGAGTTCACGTTCATG